AAATTCCCTAAAAATGCCTAGAAATCAATCGCTGATGGGCCACGTACTCAGTTACGAACTTTCCATCAATTTTTCAATGTCTTCACAGTGAAAACATACGGGTTTGGATCCGATGAGATAGCAGTCAACCGTCGACTTCTGGCTGGATGACCAGAATTGAAAAAAGAACAGAGAGTGTTGGATAGGTCAAGGGGAAGCCACGGGTCTGCAGAGAAAGTGTTCCTCCAGAAGTGAAAAAGAGGGGTCCCCAAGCGAGGGGGGCGACACTGTCGTGATTCAAAAGTGGGAGGCACTGCTTGTGTGCTACCGTGCTGCCATCCTTATCAATCGCGGCATACGTGGCGTCTGCGCCCTCTCGCGTACGACGTGCTCTCTCGCGTTTTCCCTCTCCTCGCAGCGCTGTGTCTCTCCGTCATACCACGGCCGACCTCACAAGGGAATTTCAGTGTTTTCTATGGCGCTTTTTGCTTTTTCTTCCCACTAACGTTCCTCATCACACTTTTTGTCTAATTTTCGAACAAAATAACACACCAATTCGATACCTATAGACCAAAAAAGCCTCTTTTTGCTTGCTTAATGCTTCATGCTTTTACGGTCAGTCAAAATGTTCTGAGTTGAGAAACGCCGTTTTGAGCGCGTTCAAACGCGCGGCAGTCTCGAAAGAAGGGCAAGCTTTGGCTAGCGCTACTTCGCTCAAATTGTGCTGCTTTCTGATAATATACCAACTTGTTCAGTCAGTTGTACCCTAAGCGAAATGATCGTGTTATGTACAGGTACCGTCCTCGCACAAGGAAGAAATTTGAAAATTTGGAAAAAAATTTAAGTGGAGGCCTTCGTGTGCAAATCCTTAAAAGTACGCAGTCAAGGCAAAGTTGATTAAACCAAGTCTGTTCTCCGAGTTCGATTCCTACTTACTTCCACTAATTACACAGTGAATAAGAGCACGATAGACGCTCGGAGTGCTTAAAGTACTAAAATATTGGTGGCAGAGCTGGCCTTTGCTCGCTCCCTTGCCCGCTGTGACGTCACCAACACGCGAACGCGTCCGCGCCGCCGGTGAGCTTGTTCCATGGAGCCACAAGGATTGGCAGGAAAACCTCAAAGCATTTTTGAGTAAATTTTATCAGCGCAATTTGCGGTTGACTGCCTTCAATGGTCGCGCTGCACTATATTCGCCTAGGACAACAGGATTTTTCGAAAGCTTTTTCCTCTTTCTTTGAATGTTTCCATCAGCATTTTCATTCCTGAGGATGACTTACCTTCTAAGCCATACCAGTCTGATGATAAGCTTGGAGAGTAATGCTTCCAGAATGCGCTCCCGTCGGCATCGTATATCAAATACGGTTCTTAGTCAAAATCTTTATTTTCGATGTGGTGAGATAGGCGGACCTCCTAGGGGTCCGGACCGACACGCAGTTAGCATCGAATGATATGTCCTCGACGATCTAGCAATGGCCTTCCTCCGCGGCCAGTTGGCGCGCTATTGGCGCGGCACGCCCCTCCCCTCGCTGTCTGAGCCTCTAGCCGTTTAGCAGAGAGAGCGTTAGCGTTGAAGAGGGCAGCACGATGAGAGTCGCATCAATGCGGAAATCAACGGGCAAGGAAGAGTCTCGGTTTTTCTTCTTTCGTGCATCACTGACCGTCTCCTAGCTTTCCAATGAGCTGCCTTTTCATCGCAAAACTCCGCTTTGATTTACTGGTTCAAAGAGCTCATCAACGGCAAAAAAACCACTGTTTGATAATGTTCTCAACAAAGAGGCTCATAATCGCAAAAATGAGCACTGTTGCAGATGGCATGGTCGTTTGCCGGTCCTACACGGAAAAATTTCCTGATCCGAGCAATCATCCGGTTACGGTTGCCTTGTTTGCTGTGCTTTACACATTCGTGTTTGTGATCAGTTTTGCAGGCAATCTAGGTAAGCGCTTCACTATTTAGCCATTTGAAACTGTTATCGTCACCCTGATTCAGGAGTCATTTACGCCACCGTACGACATCGAAGTCTCCAGACCGTGCAGAATATCTTCATTGTGAATTTGGCCGTCAGCGACGTCATTCTTTGCGTATTGTCCATTCCTTACGCATTCACCATATCGCCAAACAATATTCAGTTTGAAACACCGCATGATTACCGATAAAGCGGCAAATATATAGCCTTTCATCCACGGGATGAGCATGACCGACTTGCCTAGATGAGTCATTACTATGCTGCCGCGATCTGGTTTTAGGGCTACTATAATCCATTTTGGTGTTCTTTTTCTTTCGTTTTATGGAATTAATTATGAAATAAACAAACAGGTTCTATGCAGTATTTCGCTCTATGTTGTTCGACGAGTGGGAGTATCCAGCTATTGTCGGTTCATCGCACATTTCGCTGTGCGCTATCCATCGACCAATATTTCGATCTGGTTATTCCCCAGTTTGACTTTCAGAAATCCAACAAACCGCCTGATAAGACTTTATCGCCGAGACCTCTCTCTACGCCTACAAAGAAAGATCTTAACGAGCATAAAGGGAGAATAATTCACCGTCTAATCCTCGTCCATAAGCACATTTGAAGCAGTGTGTCGGGATCAGGTGCCAAGAGGTGCTCCCTCCTGAGGGAGAAATACAGATCCCAACGCCAGGAGCGGCGACACTGCCGCGACTCAAAAGTACGCGGTAAGGGCGCTAGACTTTGCCCTGTACGCTGCCCACGTTGCCACTCCATCAATCGCGACACTGGCGTCTGCGCCCTCTCGCGTACGCGTACTCTCTCGCGTTTCTGTTCTCGTTTCCTCTCCTCGCAGCGCTGTGTCTCTCCGTCGTACCACGGCCGCCTCACAAGGGAAATTTCAGAGTTTTCTATGGCCTTTTTGCTTTTTCCCTCCACTACGTTCCTCATCGCACTTCTTGTCTTGACTTTGAACAAAATAACACACAAATTCGACCCCGACCGGTGCCTTTAAGGCCGAACTTCTTCATCATGCCATGCCCTCCCTAATAATTATATAGATATTTGTAATCTGTTCACTGTTTGCAAAGATTTTTGCAGGTAGCCCGTTGCGTAAAGTGAATGCTATCCGAATCACAATCCTCCTCTGGATCATCTCCATTCTCGTCACTCTTCCCTACGTGTACCATATGAAAATGAGAAAGTATCCTTCAATAAGTGAGTTTCTGCGAACTCGTCCGCATGGGACGAGTTTTTCAAAGTGACTGTTTTGCAGATGTTTGTGGAGAATTTTGCACGGAAAAATGGCCAAATGTTCATTCAAAACGGATCTATACGCTCTTTGTACTCGCCATACAGTTTGTCATTCCGTTTACCATAATGACAATCTGCTATCAAGCAGTGAGTGGCTGTTTCTTCCACCTTGCCGCGGAACGCCCCTTTTACCTGAATGTTTCAGGTATTTTCGTTTCTTCGACGTCGAGCGAAATCTCGTCTCACTTCAATCGCTCAACAAGCAAACCTTCTTTATGTGGTTGCCGCAACTGCAGGAGGAGACACTCAACAACACAAAGAGCAGGTATGCGCGTAGCGATGAGAAGAGAGTGCAGAGAAGCAGACTTTGTCTGTGAACCTATCATTAGCCCTCATAAAAAGTAAAGAAAAAAGGTGGCATTGATCAATCCCCTCGTAGGATACGCCACGCATTCGACCTCTTTTCTGTATTGTAGTGGCACTTTGGATGTTTTTGGCCCACACAACGACCAGGAGCCAGCCGATCTGGAAAATCAAAGGGCACTTCCAGGCTGCGCTGTGCAAAATGTCTCTTCACTGACGTATCGGCGACTGTCGCTCGATTGGGGGTGTCATCGCTTAAAGAGATCCTTTGGGGGGAAATCACAGTTTGGGAAGCACTCCTTGGTATATTATCCGTAGTAGAGAGACTTCTTGGTGGCTTCGAAACAGCTACGGGTAAGAATTAGGTAAAGCGACTCTCAAGTCGTGCTTTGAAAAGGACGGTGATATCCCCACATGCACACATCCTGCCCACATCACATCCACTTTTTTTACACGGGTCATCCACCCTGAAGCCAGGGTCAACAATCGCGTTCGCACGTTTTCAAAATTTTTGCGCCTCCAGCCTCCTCTTCGGGCTAGGGGGTCTCGATGCGACCATGACCACCACCATCATCACACTTGGAGGGGCTCCCTCGATAAGACCCCCTCCTCCCTACCCCGACCGCCACTTTCTCCATCATGGCTGTTTCTGTAGCATTTGATTCTGAGAATTCTGAGACCAGTCGACACAGCCGAACTCCCCCCTCCCCCACCTTTCCTCCGAAACGGCCGTCGAGCGGAAGGAGGACTGGTAATAATGGAGGGCGGTAAGGCGGCAAATGCTGCCAATTGCTTTCCGTAAGAAACCCGTCTAATTAGCGAACCTCCTTCTACACAGACCGTTCTATTCGTAACTCTCCGAAGGTCACAAACGCTCGTCCTCTACTTTAACCCACAAAATTGCTACTCCGCTCCCCTTTTCCCGACGTCACACAATGCGACTTCCTTCGTTTGTAATATATGTGCGAAACCGGACGGTTTTGAAATCTGCCTGGAGCTCTTCGCACCGCCTAATTCCTAGAGCACAGTGTCTCGATTCTCCTAGCCCTCGACCGTTTCCTTGGACCACGTCAGACGGGAATGTAAGAGCATCTCAGGGTTTCTTCTCCACATACACCGATATTTATCAGAAGTATACTTTAAGAGTCGATTACGTGTTATGAGCGTTCTCGATCCTTACCTTGAGTATTAAAGGACGCTAATAAAGTGCCCACCCCCCCCTCACCCCTTGTTAAATCTCACCTATTTGAGCAAGCCATGCCTTAACAGCTTGTGAGAAGGTCAATCAAAGGCAATCAAATCAAATTTTTTTTCAGTGAATTTGGCCAATTTTTTGCTCTATCGGCATTGAATCACTTACCGCTGTTGTTTCAGTTGACACATTTGATCGAGCAGAAGCGACGAGTAATGCAGCAACGGCGCCGAGTCACACTGATCTTGGTGTCGATGGTGGTGATCTTTGGTATCACCTCACTGCCACACAACATCGTCAGCACTCTGATGGAATTCACCGACAGTCATGATCTGCTCGCCTACAACGGCAACGACTACACCTACCTCTTGAACCTCATCACACACTTGTTCGTCACTTTATCTCTTGTAAATACTCGGTGCAATACAAGTGGGACGGGCATACCGATTTTAATACGGTAGCCCGCGAAAATGTATGCACGTGGAGACCAGTGCTCAATTGATATTACAATAAGCGAGGACGTATGAATATAATTTATATATTCCAGCTTTTCATGCATCTCAACACCCGATCTCACTAGCGCCTGGGTGGCAGTCCCCACGTACCCTCGCCTTCAAATAACCAGAAATTGTGCAATTGCAGAAATTGACGTGGCATTAACGTGGCATCGATTCAAGAACATCTTTGAGCACACGTGATGTCACCTTTTCATCGAGAATTTAGCCACGTGTGCCACGTCAATTTCTGCAATTGCACAATTTCTGGTCATTTGAAGGCGAGGGTACCTTACTTTCTGCAGCCTAACAATATACAGAAATTGGCGGGGTGCCCATCTCACTTGTATTGCACCAAATTCTCCAAAAAATGAATGGCATTCTGAATCTTGGTCATTTCAGTCTGGCAATGCTCTCATGTGTTGCTAACCCGATGCTGTACGCCTTTTTGAATCCGGAGTTCCGTGACCTGGTACTGAATGGATTGGCCGGTCTCAAATGGACACCACGATTCGTTCAGATCGACAATTGGCAAGCGCCCACCCAGACTACGGTAGTGTGATCGGCGCGATCTCATGGGGTAAAATTTCGCCCCTGCTGTAGACGTAGCCAAGATTCCTTCTAAATTCAATATTGTACGGAAACTTGTGAAAATGATATTCACTATAACAAAGAAAAACTTATTGAAAAAAATCTAGAATGCTGTTCCTGTTGAGAATACGAATAATTTCAAATTCCCATGCAGGGTCCACCGTGCGTTGTACAGTTCTCAACGAGTGAGGTCGCACTTGTGGAAGTTGAAGGGATGGTGGGCACTAGCAGTGGGGGACGTGACAGACGGGTTTTATGGCATTTTTGGGGAAAACTTTCTGAAAGAAGAAAGGCAAACAGCAAAAAATAAAGATCCCTCCGGCAGTGATGGAGGGGAAAAAGGGGGAGAAGCTGAAACTGCCGACTAGTCCAAAATCATGTACTGTAAAAGCAGCCACGGTGGTGAGGGTGACGGGGTGGGGTGGGGTGAAAGGGTCGTGTTTTGGGGGAGCCTTATAAGGGTAACGGTGGTGGTGGTGGGATCAAGGGTCGTAAACTTTTTAAAATTGCGCAACGCACGGTGGCCTTGTTCCCATGATGAGATGATAGAAATTCCTCATAGAAATAGAAAGATGTTAAGGAGAATAAAGCAAACCTTCAGTTGTTGCCGGAGCGAAACCACACAGTCCGCCTTGGTCGCCATCTGAAAGCAACGATGAGGGCATAAACAACTCTAATACTCGTTCCGAGTTTTCCTAAAACGACCAGCAATCTGAACGTGTGGCTTGGACGAAACCATATTGTGCCAGTGTAGCTAGCGCTTGAATGAAGCCTTGTTGTTTCCAAGTCGTATGTGTATGTCTTTTTTCCTGCACCCAGTCATCGATTTTTCTCAACAGAAGGAAATTGAATCGTATCTTGCTCTCTTGCTACGACGGGATGCGGTTACCCGCTAGGCAAGAGAACCGACTTTTTCGCCCGTTCGGGGCAGCGGCTGAAACCCCCTTTCTCGCTGCGGGAACCAGGTCACTTATGCATCATCGGTGGACCTAGAGTTTTCCGCGCAGCAAAAACGTCGGCACGTTAGAAATCGCGAATAATATCGGCTTTTTGCCAAAGCGGACGTCAAAACTCCGTCCTCACTTTCCCAAATTTTACTATTTTTGACACTTCATTAAGCTCAGCCTTGACGTTAGTGGGAAGACGACCCTACGGTAAAGCTTGCATGACCCTCTCGCTCCGCCTTCATATCCCCCTCCCCTATTACCACTTTCACAGTAAGACCAGGTGACATCATATAACACACTCCAACTCCGCACCTCGATAGAACGGCAAATTCTACGCACACTTTTGATCTCTCTCCAATCAAGGATCCTCGCTCCCTAACCCCTTGTTTGACTGAAATACAAAGCCGGTCATAATGCATAACTAACGATAAGGATTAAGCAAGTAGCATCAACTAGTCATTTAGGAGTGCGCCATTAAAACCATTTCCATTCAACCCATTGAGTAGTACTGCATAGGTATCACTGCAGGCAGCAGGGCTACTCACTACTCAGGAAGACGTTTTCTATCTGTCAGGCGAGTCTGATGGCTATTGATCGGACTCCGGTAACTCAGTCGTACAAACAACCCTCCACTCCCCGGGTTGGGTTGGATGGTCTGAAACTTTGACTATCGACCAGTCTCCCGTGGTTGCTGGCATGGCGCACCAGGAAGGGACCAATCCAGCATTCTTGCTATTTTCATACCAACAGTAGGATTTCCTTTATTTCTCTGTGATAGCTAAGTAGTACGTTTGTTCCCCACCATTTAGTCAGATTACAAATAGTAAGTTTGCCATTTTCGCCTCCTTACGCCACAATTCCAGATAGATGTATTTATTCCTTGCTAGCCTAATCCTTGTTCCCAAGAGTGGCATATACAGACGACCCTGATTACGGTGATTATATGATCTCTTTGACTTCAAACTCGGATCTCAGTTATTCCAATGTTTATTTATCACATCATGATGCGCTTTTTGATTACTCTCTCATATAAAAGTTCTAAAGATGTGTTTTTATTTGTTGTTTACAATTAACACATTTTCCAAGTCTCGGGTTATTTCTATAAGATCATCTCTTCTTTATCTCAGAGCATTTACTTGAATAAATAACATTTTGCATGAACGCCTGTAATTTCCGCTGCCACAAACCACACATATTAAACAAAAAACATAAAAAAGTCCATTCAAGTTGTACGAAAAAAAAAACAACGGGTATGCATGCATAATAAACAAAAGTCAAGATACCTACTGCAATATTCTTGAGATATAATGAATGGATTTTACTTCGCCTTACTAGTGGACCCATTATTGTAGTGCGCCGATGAACTCGCTGTTGCGGGATTCGGTCGCCAAGATTCAGTCCTTCGTGGGAGAGCAAAGCTGGTGGGAAACACTGGCCCGTATGAAGGACTGCATGATGTCCTAAATGGATTTACTGGAGCTGATGATGTTGATTTAAGTGGTCGGAAATACCTGAGCCTGCGGTGTTCGTGGTTGCTGAAGCGTAGGTTCGAGAGCTGCCCCACGTGACTTCTCGGGCGTCTCCTTCAACGATCCTTCGGAAGAACTAGGAAATACTCCGCTTTCCGGCTTTGAGCCCATCTAGAAAAAAGTTCTTACGACACTTGATTTATAATCTTTACGCGAAGTCTGCCTATCAATACCACTAAATCCAGTATTACCCAAACCATCATCGATTGGCAGGGCAGGGTCAAATATTCAAAATGGATGGGGTATTGCCAAAATTTACGAAGCACGCGTAGGTTGACGAGCCCCACCCACGGTGGGAGAGGGTGCGTTGAAGTAAGCTGAACTGAAGACAAGAAATGGATAATCCTGCTCAGGAACAGCCTTTATACTTAAGGAACTGCGTAAAAATGAATAAGAGCTTCGAGATCTACGCAATCCCGCAAATATTTTTTGTACTTCGAGAAATGAAGCGAAAAATCGTTATGTACCAAATGGCAGTGGCGTGGTCCTTCAGGGCTTCGTCGACTTTTTTCTTGCTCTTGGGCTCTTCAAATCGAAGAACTTGGGTAATTATGTACCCACATTTACTCTCCCGACACTTCGACTAAGTTCCTTTGTGTCGTGACGTATATGAGCGAAGTGAACAGCAGGTTAATGATGAAAAACCCGCGTGAATTATTCATACTAAACCGTCGAGATTCGAAATGCTGCATATTTTTAACTGATCGAAAGATGGCGAGCTCGATCTTGGAATAGAGAACATAAGTATCACATATTCATGCTGCTTCAGCTGCGTTTTGAGTTGCAGAAGCTGGTAAAAACAAACGATTTCGACGGCAGGAATCTTAAATTTAATTTCACAGAAATCCAGAGACCGGGAAGAACGCATGAAAATGTGCATTGAGTTGCCAGGTCGGCAGATCGGAATAAAGAACCACCCGTAGTGGGCAGAACGTTTTCCAAATGCACCCCTATGTGACGCGCGTGCGCCACAGTGCGGAATAAAAACCGATTAATTGTACATTTCACGAGAAAACGTACCTCGTTGCTTGTTGGCTGGTTTGGTTCTTCATCGATCTTGTAGAGCATCATGCGATGGAACTCTGTCAAATGACATAACAGTCCCCAAGCGCTTTTGAAACGGTTATCACATGAAGCGCATTTGATGTGGTTAGGTTCATCTACAACGTGAATGAAAAAAAAAAGAAAAATGTAGGTATAAGTAGACAGTAAAACAAAATAAACCTTTTCCTTTATTTCTATTGCAGCCAGCAATGCGATGATCCTTGAACGCCTCATAATCTGCGGTCACAAAGCGACAGCTGCCACAAATCATCGTGTCAGCAATGTCTATGGAAAGTACATTTGCAAAAATATGTCTAGGAAGAAGAGCATTTCAAGCAATTTCGAAGATTCTCTACAGAACTTGTTTGTTTGCTGACTGCGGAACGCCTCAGGTGCTGGGTCACGGTAGAGGCTGTGTGCAGTAGCTAACATGAAAAAGTTTCTTTTCCGCATCGCCGACTAGGGAGTAGAGTCGACTGCACACAGAAAACATGTTCCGTAGCGAAATGGGCGGGTGCAACACGTAAAGCACAAAGGTAGATTCCCCATCTTATGCCCTGCGCGTCGTTTGCCGATCAGGCGGGATGGAAATAGACGGATTATATGTAGAGGATGGAATCTGCTGTTGATTGTCCTTCCACATTATTTTGCGCTGCAAAGCACTCCAGTACATCATCGAGAGATTCCACGACAAGTTTGGAGATCAAAGGAAGGGGACATATACCTAGAGCCTAAAAGCAGGCGAGTCCCCTCAGAATGAGGGACGATGCGTGTTCGAAGCGAAGAATATGGGCCAGCGACCAAGCAGGGGCCGTACCCGCGCCGCTCGCGCCTCTGCACCCCGCCGCTAAGTACCCTCAGCCACCATCTGATACCAGCCCTTAGCACAGAATAAGCGTTAGCGTGAAGGGGCAGAAATTGAATAGAGTGGTATCAGGCGAAATTCACGCAAAAGGTATCGCACATCAATTATACTGAACTTTAGCTCTCAGTTTTTACTTCGTTCTCTACAGCGCTGATCACCTACCTCTACCTTGGTTTTTAATGGGCTGCTTTTCATAGCAAACTCCGCCTTACACACGTTGACGACAGCACAGGAAACATGTCCGTCACTCTGTAGGCCATAACGGACAGCGCGGGAAGTGAAGGTCCTTGGCACTCCACTTGACACTCATTTTTCGCATGCACGCAGCGATTCATTTTTAAATTTCTGCATTATTCATGGAAGAAACCTTAACATAGCCACAAACATAGTGGTCCACAGAGTGGTCACCGTTTTTCAAAGGAGCGCACACGTACCTGCATGGAAGAGGTCACCATTCGTTGTGGCATCGCTCAAAGCAACAGCTCGGTTTCGGCTATTCAGTTCTTTTATGTCATCTACCAGTAAGCGCTGTCCTCACCGAGAAACTTCAAGCACACGTTGTCATCCTCTCCAGCACGTTACGTGAGGCACTGAAATAAAAACCAAATACCGTGGACAAGAAATCATAATCGATCCCAATAAACGACGATTTCCAGTTTATCCAGAACTTTTTTTCACCAAAGGAATATGAGCCAGACACGGTAGCACCACAGCACATGGAGAAGTGCAAGTGGGTATATTTGAAAAATCACAGGTATGTCAGAGAATGTTTCATAGATCACGAAAATGACAAAATATTCGAAGTATCACCACCCAACGCGGTACCGCCATGGACAGGAGATCGATTACCTTTCTTCTTGCTCCAGGCGTTTCTTTCCTGCATACGACTCCACAAGATGAACATCTGGAGCACAAACATATTTGAAACGATACACGGTGAACATCAACGTAAACGGCATGAATTAAGAAAGATCAAAACGGTACACAAAACATATCAAAACCACACAACAAGAAAAAAAAAAATAAAAATGTTCACAATAACAATCTCCTGTTGTTTTAGCGCACTGCTTGACAGCGTGGTTGTGAGAAGAGCTGGATCAATGGATTCTAATCATGTTCATGATTACGATGTAGAATCCACATCAAGTGAAGTGTTCAAGGTCTTACCACAGGTTCAGGTCAACAGAACTATGCAATGGCAATGGAGACTCCTTTTTGCGTTATGTTACAGGTAGCCTAAGTCTCACGTTAGTGTGATATCTGAGCTGAGAAAATCAGAGATGACTAAAAGAATCGTCAATGGCGTTGATAAGAAGTTGAAAAAAGTCTATGCATGTAAAATGAGTTTTTAGGGGGAGGGAGCTTTCAGAAGCAACATTTCGAGTGGTTCACAAATCCTGGGCGGGTGCTGAGGAGAGCGAAGAACAAGGAACATGGTGGCCATGTACCAGACGACGCGCTGTAGGAGGAACTGAATCAAGCCTCCAGAATTGAAATCAGTGCCTTCAAGAGCGATAGGCCAGGAAGTCAGGCAATTAGTGGAAGGATTGAATGCTTTTGTTCTTGTCATAGGTAAGTTGCCGAAAAGATTTCGTAGTGATGACACTCAGCTTCCCTACTTTCTTCAAAGTTTGGCGCGGCCGCGGAGAGCGCGTGAGTTTATAGTGCCCACGCACTGTGCTGCATGGCAGGGTGAATAACGGTCGAGGAATTCCTCGACCATCGCTCTCTGCTGTGCGAGAGTAGAGCCGATAGTGAATGTACGCGCGGAGAGCACAGACGGCTCGCGGGTGGCGAGAGTGAATATCCGCGCGCGAGAACGTAAAGGATCAGGCGAAAATCCTCGACGTGCCGTTGAGGAATCCTCAAGCAATATTCACCCTGGCTGATGGGTGTTTTCGAACCTACCCGCACAGTTCGCGGGCACTACGGAATTCGTCGCGCCGCGCCCTCACCAATCGTGAAAAAAGTGGAAGAGCCCTGCATGACACTCCAAGGAGGAAGCATCACCGGAGTCAACATTTATGACATTCTACGGCGGGAACTCGAAAGAGGGGGTGGTACTTTTCTTAGTCCTTCTTCCGTGGTCCACCGAAACAAACGCATAATTTTTTTCTTTCCGCTTTTAGCGTGAAGAATGGTCCGCAGCCATTTGTTTCTGATGGAGGAAAGAATCGATCGAAGGTGAAATGATTTAGACTTGATATACACCCACACCAACTCAGAATATAGTGTAAGGGTATTGTGGTACAGTTTAGAAAAAATATCATTGATTTTAGCAAGACGACTATAAAAAGCCGAATATCGTAGAACATGTTGTGCAGGAAGGGTGGACCGCACCCAAGAAAGTGGGGCAGAAACGCCATGTCGCGGCTCGGAAGTGCGCAGGGTGAAAATCGTGTCGAGGAAATAACCGCCTCTTTACGACCCCCCTCCAAAACATGGACTCTGATACGACCCCTTTTTGTCCTCTGCACATCCGGTTTCATATCAAAAAATGCTAGTTTCAGATGTGCGAGAGGGACGCAGCGCCGCTGCCACGCAAATGCGGCTTGATCCAAATGCTAGATTCAATTCTGCTCAGATTAGGTTCTCCCTTTAAAGACATTTAACCTTTGCCACATTGGCCGGAAAGTAGAACATTGAAGGAGGTACTGCCCCTACACAGTTGAACAGTCTCGCGCTCCAGTATAGCGGCGCTAACTACCGCGATCGCGTCGCGCGCTGTGCCTAGAGCGCGCTAGTTGGAAAAATCGTCAAATGTACCCCCTATTCAAAGGACTATAACTTTCTTCATTGATAACCATTTCAGAAAGTGAAGGCAGCTTTTGAATGCACAAGACTTCTAGTTTCTAAATTGTGCTGAGCGTTTTTCTAAGCACGCCTATTCTCGAGAGTGGGAGACGTCGAGAAATTGTCGAGGAAATTGAAATTTACATGCGAGTTCCCACTCTTTGGAAGACAGTAGCTGTCTTCATTGGCAATGCTTTGAAAATCGGAGGAAAGCGTTGTAAAGTAGAAGATTTACGCTTTCTGATAGGTGCTCCAGTTGTTTCGAACGCTTTCTAGTTCGCGAGAAATCTGCGTCGAGGAAATGTCAAGGAAATTTTCGAAGCCACTCGAAAACTCTATTACTCCCTTGCCGTAGTAGGGAACTTCTTTGAACACCTTCAAAATACTTCTGTACACGTCAGTTCGATGGAGTAAATTGAAAATGATGCACTTGGCGCGGATCCATTCCGTTCTTGTATGCGCCATGCAGTGACCCCACTCGGAGTCATTGGGAAGGTGTTTTGTCCTAGTGACGACTTGCTTAAGCACACCAAAAGATATTTCCAGTATTAACTAATTAGGATAACTCTTGTGGTCATAGTGATGTCTGATCATTCCTTTATTCAAATCGCTTCCTTTCCAACCCGTTCTGATGAATGACAGCTTGCGGTGGCAGGATCTGATAATGCCAAGAAGGCTGCGAATCTGCCTGTTTTGAACTTTCTACCAAGATGCTGTTCCTCCACTAAGTTCTCGAAGCATGTGCATCATTCTAGAGTAGATACTCGCTGCCCTTTCCCTACGATTCTTTTGCAGGACGCGTTGCCTTCCTATGCCATACTGATCACTACGAACCAAACCAACAACCACTTGTAAGATGTTATTTGCATTAGGCTAAGTACAACACTTGTGAAAATAACAGGGGGGGGGCAAAAAAAGACATTTTGCCTATGTCGGACTTCGGCTCTTTTTTCTTCGCAGAGATTGCTGTCGTTGACGGGAGTTCCTCAGCAGAGTATTCCCTAAGTGTAAGTGAACACAGTGCCCTCTCCTTCACTGCCCTCACCGTCTTCAGAATATGACGTCATCTGTCACCGTCGTCAGGCTCAAGGAGGTCTACCGTAAGAGCTTCAGCCTGAAGCTCTTACGCAATTTCGTGAATCGATTTAATGTTGGATAGTTTTCTAGAGGCATTAGCTACCACTGTGCAAATCCCCTCGGAACTAGCTTTCCAGTAAGGGTCGTTATGGTACACGATCCTTCGAAGACCCCATTGAGCTCGACCAGTGCACCATGTTTCCAGGGCAAATTCTTCTGATGCCGTCCACGTAGGTGGCCACCATGAAGATTTTCTTATAGAATGGAATGCGCTCTTTAATAATAAGTTGGAACCATTCGGTCTGAATTGAGCAAAATGTGCTTAAATCCATCTGGAAGTGGAGACAAAATGTCTTTTTTTTTTTGCCCCCCCCCCCCTGTAATGATGACAAGCAAATAAGTGGCAGCAGCACCGTTGTGTCCGTTGATGAACCGTTTTGATTACGACCCCCTCCCAACTCTCATCGGAGCAAATACGACCCCCTGTCGAGGATTTCCTCGACCGTTATTCACCCTGGAAGCGAGCACAATGGCACTAGGACATTACAATGTGGGCCAACAACAGCTAATGTTAGCTAATGGACGGGATACCTCGCGCATACCGGATGACACCCAACGTAACTAGATTACGACGCGGCTCCTTCAAGTGCACGCGGGTTAGCTGAGATGTGGAGCAGACAACTCCGTACAACTCTTCTGGCCTCACCCTTCCTCACTGCAACCCACTCCAGAATCTTAATCTGTGGAGATTAAAAGTACATGACCGCCAGGGATTCACAGAGGGGTCAGAAATGAGTGATCGCAAAGAAATAACCTGCGCATATCGATCAAGAGGG